ATCATTATTGAAGACACAGTTCAAATGACTCCAATTACGAAATCAGACAAGACATGTAATTATAACATGAAATACAAATGTCTAACTAGACACTAAGACAACAAAACACCCAGCCTGAGTCATAACAACCTCAATACATCAGCTACCACAAGCCTACAAAATTAAGCCTTATTAAGGTAAATTATACTAATTTATATAGATCAGTCTAAACAATTTGAACAATACAGCAACTACAATCCGTCACTTAGGCTTATAATGTATAAATTACGTGTATAATGTATATTTAGCGTTCGTTTTCAAAATGGTGGCTGCATTCATTGTTTTTGAGTACATTGCGGGCCGCACGAAATGGGACACTGTTTTGTTTACACCAATTGTTTGCGGTGTTTTGTTTTTCGGATTTCGTTTTGTTTGTGTTTCTCGTTTTGGTTAATGTTTTGTGTTTTATGGGAGTTCTTTTGTGATGAGAGTTGTGTATGGGGTTTAGAACTATTTTTGTAAAGGAATAGTGTTTAGTTTGTTATTAAATGAAATAAAATTACGCGATTAGTTAATCTTTTTATCATAATAATATGCATTAGTCCAGGATTTTTTTTTATTAAAATCTAATTGTATTTGTGAACGATTTATTTCAAAAAATGTATAGAACATTTCATTTCATATTTGCTTTAATAAAGTTAGAATGTAAACATAATTAATTACAAACTCAACATTAAAAACGCGCATAATTAATGCAATTTTTCATAACTTCGTTTACATATTTTTTGCCTAAATTTTTTTATTTTCCAAATTATGAGAGATATAATAAGGAAAATTATGAGAGTAATGTATAAAGATGCTTTAGCTTGTAAAATGCAAGAATTTTTATTTATTTTTGGCATAAGTTTTTTTAAATAACAAAATCCTTATGTTTGGTTTGGTGTTAATTTGAATTAGTACGTTCTTGATTATAACAAAGGGCTTAAGATTTGCCACCTTCTTTGTCCGTAAGTGTAAAGGTATACGCAAATAGCGTGTTCTCGTTCTCCGTGACCGCACAATGCTTAGCCCAGCGTGAACTTACAACGAAAATGTGTTTGTTACTGTACTTACACTGTGCGTAAGGGGTGTTGTATTTTACGTAAGAAATAATCTTTAAATAGTTATGTTTACTCTAAGTTTCTTTTTTAACAATTATTGTTTTTCATATTTGATAGGACAGAATATTATGAAACCTATGAAGTGCATAATTAACATAATTTTCATCAGTTGTGAGTCTATGTAATATTTTCATTTTATTTTCATTATCATCACAAGCCTACAAGTAACTGCTGACCAGAGGCCTCGTCTCACACGGTAAAAGTTTGAGCATTAATCACCTCGCTTGCTCAATGCGGGTTGGCGATTGCAAACGTATAATTAGACATTATAAGTCCAGGTTTCCTCACGATGTTGTCCTTGCCCACTTGTCTGTGGTGTCTAAATAACCTAAGAATGCATATACTACTCGAAAATAGTCACATTGATATATCACTTAGCCGTTGGTTGTTGGTTAGGTTTCGAACCCGTGCACGCATGCATGAGAAAAGGGGCGTCTTAAACCTCCGGGCCACCACGACAAGTCAACATTAACATAGTAATTTTTTCTACAAGAACCCTCTTCCAGTCCCCTATCCGTCTATTTAAGTCACATCGGTCATAATATCAATTAATAGCAACGTCCATAAATTACAATTTAAATGAGGTTCACCATTATGTAATAGATCTCTTAATTAGGGTGCCGTTCAAACCCTTATTTTTCTTCCGTGCCACTTTAATCTGAGTTAACCACTAAGATTTTTTAGCGTTCAGTCAGTAATTTAACGAATCTTTTGATTAAAATAAACCTAAACTGATAAATTGTTTTATTTGTCGAGTCGTCGCCAGTTATGTCTACTAAGCCAAAGGTTGATTTGAGAAAAATAGTATTAGATTTAGTTCTTCTCAAAATTCTCAGTAGTACCCTAAAGATACACCTCGCTTAGAGCTATTTATTGATTTACCTTTTTATTAAATTACGTCTTATAAAACATATGATGACATAAAACTAAAATAACGAGAAGCAACGACTAAAATAATAAGTTTCAAAATAAGAAAATAATCTCACCCTGTATGTTTCGCGACAGGTAGGTACAGTTCGTTGCGTTAACTGTTATTTCCCTAAGAAAACGTTATCGTTTACGTTACATACTTACTTCGCTGTGGTTTATATAATTGTAAGCATTTGTTTTTATTTATTTTAACAATTTTTTAACGTACAATTACATAATGGCGGGCTTAATGACGGATGGCATTCTCTACCAGCCAACCGCAGGGTGATGCAGAGAAGACAGTGTTACAGTAGGTTTTAAACAAGTTTGTATCTATTGCAAAACGAAGATGTTAAATTAAACTGTCAAACACCAAGCGGTCACCGGTGACCGCAACCTATTGTTCTATAATTGTGTTTACAAAACCGGTACTCGACGAGTTAATAGCTGTATAGAAATAAATATATCCGAGTACACTACGCACCAATACTACTATTACATACATACATACATAACTTCACGCCTGTCTTCCATGGGGGTAGGCAGAGACTATGGAACGCCAAATACTACGACTCCTACATACCTCTTTCGCTTCATCAACAGTCATCAATCTTTTCATGCATGCTCGTCGGTTAAAGGTACTTACTTTTAATTTGGCCCTTCTTTAATATATCGCCAATCTGGTAACTATATGTCCGTCGCCCTCTACCGACGGCTCCTATTACTATCCCCTCTAAGACTATTAATAAAACATAAATATGTCGCAGAATCAACAAAGATGCACAGCTATCGAGTATCGTTATTTTAGAACAACGCCATCTGTTATCATTTGTCGGAAACGTCAAGCAGTGTGATGGTCGGTACGGGGCGTGGCATGTTGGCATTTTGAAAGGCGTCACTTTTGAGTTGCACACGAGGGTGAGCGGTTGTTCTGCCAGCTCGTACCGAACTTACCGCGTTTACGAAGAATCCAATGACGAAGTACCCCCAATGGGTGCATTTTCTCCGACAAATATAAAATGTAAATAAGTATACATATATAATTTTTAGATGTATACATTATGAATATCTATTGTATTGTGTTTTGTTGTTTGATAGATTTATTTTCGTCTCATCTCGTCTTGCGTCGCGTCGCTTGGTTTAGGAAATCGTGATTGTCAAGTTTGATTATTGAATAAGGCAAACATTTTTCTCTTTTCAAAAATTTACAGTATTGGCAGTAAGATTGTCAGGAAACTAATAACATAACTCAACAGTAAATTCTTCACTATATTATTTTTATTTTAAACAAAACCATTATTAAACACGTTTTAATATAAAACAAAAGGCGGTCAATGACATAATGATTATGACATATAATTATGTTATTTATTGAAATATTACATTTACATTATTTTAATGTTTTTCAAATATAACATAAACATTAGTAAATAACAACAATAAATCAATAATAAATTAGTAAAGGATAATCAATTAATTATAGAGGTAGAAGACCTAAATGTATTAAAAAAGTGATTCATAATTTAAATGGCTCCAATTTTAGCCTGTTTTCTAAGTAAGACAGCGGTAACTGAATTTACTTCTTCAATTTTTTTCACTCTAATGTCATTTGAGTCAGTCACAGGATAATCTCCAGCATAAAGTGCTCCTTGTTTAGAACGATGTATGGGATATTTATGAGGAGGTCTGTATCTGTAGTACCAAGGTAGACTCATCAAATACTTCTCGTAGTCTGATTATGTACATGCAAAAGAAAATTACAGATTTATATTTAGTTAAAAAAAAGTTTAAAGAAAGCAAATAACATGGGTAAATAAATTAGTTTTGAATTCGTTTTCTAGAAGTACACAGGGCTACATAAAACCAGTAAGATATTATATTAGTACTTATTGTTACCTACTTATACATATAAGTACTAGCGACCCGCCCCGGCTTCGCACGGGTGCAATATGCATGTATTATACATACAAACCTTCCTTAAGAATCACTGTATCTATTAAAAAAAACCGCATCAAAATCCGTTGCGTAGTTTTAAAGATCTAAGCATACATACGGACATACAGCGAAAGCGACTTTGTTTTATACTATGTATTGATGAAATATAAAAATAAGGAAATAAATAAATATCTACAACTTAAATGAACTAATTAACAAAATAAAATGAAACAAAAACTAAAAATCGCTATTTACAGAGAGAGTACGATGCAATTTGTGACATAATAAATGACAGATATCATTTTGACAGATATAAGATGTCATCTTTGACAAATGAGAGATGCCATTTTTGACAGATGGCAAGTGCCTTCTTATAAATTGATCGTCGAATGTGCTGAAATATCCTATTAAAGAAGAGTATGTATGGTAAACTGGTTTTGTATAGCTTGATCTGTTTGTAGACGTGTGTACTATAACATAATTGCTATAATATTTAATATAAAAAAGCACCATATACATGTTAATACTATGATTTTTACTCAAATAAATTAACATTTAAATATTATACAAAATAAAATCAGGCTTACCTTGATGTTAAAATTGTTAGCACTCAGATTAGTAGGATTATAAGACAGAATTTTATCACAACGAATAAATAAGTTTCTTGTATTTATATTTTATAATATGTGCTCAAAATACACTTACATTTCTTCAATTTTCAGTCCCATATAGCACAATATCAGTCTAAGTATAAAGAAATAAAACCAATTTGAGAATCTATCTATCTATCAACAATCTTTTAAATGCCCACTGCTAAGCAAAGGCCTCGGCACGCACGAAAAAGAAATGAGCAGGTAAATTGGCAATTTCAACCTTATAATTAAAAATTATGAGTCAAAAATTCTACACGATGTTCAAAGTCTATCACAGTATGTCAATATCTATCACCCTAATATTTCATAGATTGTTAAAGGAAATATTATAAGGTTAGTAGGTAATAAAACATCAGTTCAAGTATACATTTATTCAGATGAATGCACAACACGTATTTCCAATGCCACAATCATTTGCCTCTTTCACTCGTAACAGTCGTGGACATTTGTAATGGTCTGAAACGCACTCACCCCCTTTTGAATGACATGTAATATCGCCTGAGCCTGAAACAAAATTGATTACTGTTATTAGGTAATAGCCAGAATTAAATACATTGTCACCATCCAAATGATATGACTGCACGGTTGGTGCGGTGGCTGGGCAACCGGCTGCCGTGCAACGTGTCGCGGGTTCGATTCCCGCACGGGACAACACTTTGTGTGATCCATAAATTGTTGTTTCGGGTCTGGGTGTCATTGTGTATGTGAACTTGTATGTTTGTAAACGCACCCACGACACAGGAGAAAATCCTAGTGTGGGGCAACGTTTTTTTTTAAAAAAAAAAAAATTCTTTTCGCGGTTGTCGTAAGAACCCGTTAGAGGATAACATATTAGACAGACATTGGGTTGCATTGCTGAACTTTTACACTGCCTTCTGCGACTTGCCTGTAAGGTATGAAGATTTTAACAAACAATTTTATGTCGGGAGAAGAGACCCAAAGTCTCGATGGGCAATCACAAATTGTTTTTGTTGTACATTGCAAGTGATTGTCACATTGGTTGAGTCACAATTGCGACTACCACGCATTGTCATCAACCTGTATGAGTCCACAACTATATATGGGCAGCTTTTTAGCCTATGTACTGTTGGACATTAAGTCGATCTTTGATTCTTCAGAAAATCGACGTGAAACAACGCATGCTTTGCGTTTTGTCGTTTGAGTGAGGTTACCGGAGGCCAAATTATCTCCTTTCCAAATCTTCCCAATCCCTGACAGCCCTCAAATGCCTAATCTCCAAAAGGCCAGTAACGCACTTGTAACGCCTCTCGTGTTCCGGGTGTCCATGGGCGGCGCCGATTGTTTACCATCAGGTGATCCGTCTGCACGTTCACCGGCTTATTCCATAAAAAAGTTAATACTATATTTCTATATCAGCATACCGTACAGCCTAGTCTTGTGCCCAGAGTATGACAATAGGTTCACTTGACATTACTTGGGATGCATCTTTTTATTTTTTTTAAGGGGGGAAATTATCGAATGACGACTGCTGCTCCCGCCTGAGTGAGGCGGGAGCAGCAGTCGGAGTATCAGACTCTTACTGACTAAAAACCACCCCGTTCCTTCTCCTGCACGTCGAGCCGGAGCCCCGGTTACCCGTTAGGTTCTCCGCGACTCCGATACTTGGGATGCATAACATTATATTTTGACAAAAGTTTATAACTTATAACTATTCTCAAATAGGTATCTACTTACAATAGGTATATGTGCATGCCTGTCTTTGCAGGGTATGGTGGTATGTTTTGTTAAATATTGTATTATAATTACTGAGAATTTGAATTATTTAAAAAGCAAGTACAATAAGGGGCGACAACGCACTTGAAAGTCCTTTGGTACTGTGCATATCCATGGGCGGTGCAGCTATGAATCAATTGTTTCTTCAGCTCGATTGACCTCTACCGGGTGTACTTCGAAAAAAACAAACAATAGGTCATCACTGTGAACATACTTGCTTAAAGAAGTTTAGTCAAAACTATCTTAAAGATTTCAAAAACAATGGATTTTTAGTCTAAACAAATAACAAAGGTTTTCAATAGAGTTCAGAATTAATTGAAAACAATTATAATATAGGCTATTCATGGATTTAGTAATGTAAATATTCATAATAAGGTTATTGAAATTCCAAAGCCATAGGTAAGCAAAAATCTCAAACAAAAGGTGAGTTAGATAATAGGTAACTATAAACATTTCTTTTTTCGTTCTAGGTTAAGCAGGTTAACTAAAAACTGGTTTTTAGTTGCTTACGACTGACTCATTCTATTTATAGTATAGAGGTTATTGAGCAGACGTTTCATTTATTTATTTATTTTTATTTATTTATTTATCATTTCATGTACCTACACCACACAGACAATATTACAAATATTACATTACAAGCATGAGGTACATAGGTACTGCATATCCCTTAAGGGATTTCTTCCTGCAGGCCTTTTCATCTGATGATAAGCGCAGCATACTTTTAATTCGTGATCAAATTAAAACACTATGAGTCCCATGCACACAAATCAAGCCTATAAGCATACACCAGATATAAGTGCAACCGCAAAAATACTTCGAGTTATTTAAAGTCGGTTAGCTTCTCTGACGGTGAATGTACCGGTGATACGCGGAGTATTTTCCGTGAAATTTGAATCGACTCTTAAGAATTTAACATAACATAACATCACGCGTACCCCTGAAGAGGTAGGCAGAAATGCCACAACTAATACCATTGTAAAATTAACCTTTCCACGTTTTACTATTTATGTTATGAGTACCATAGTTTATGGATGAGACTATTGCCATATATCGGGCACAATTTCAGACCTAGTGCTACTACTCAAACTTTTTTTAAAACTCGGTAGTTCTTTGTCCAATCTGGAAATCGAACCCGAGACCCCTTGCCGGCAAACGAGGCAGTCTTAAGAATTTAAGTTTGTTTAGTAGTCTTACTTAGAACCCTCCATCAGCGATAATTGGATCAAAGAAGTAGAAGAAAAAGCAGAAACAAAATTCTAGCTATTTCATGATCGTTAAAGTTCATAATACCACCATACTGCTTAAGGCGAAAACGAGATCGTAATACTTTCTCAAAGAAACTTCCATAAGGTGCTTAACTATTGAAGTATAAACAAAGTTTTCGAGTTCACTGACCCGAAATGAATGTTGGCGTCTGAATCAAGAACTCTCCACTTAGTCCTGTTTATTTCTCGCAATGTAGGGTCTCTTTGCAATGTTATTTTATACCCAAGAGGTACCACTTTTAGGGTCTATTTTTAGGAGTTAGTAGGCGACGTGATGATGACGCCATTTTTTGCCAAGTAGTTGTTAGTCAATTAGGCCCATTATCAGAGAAAGCTGAAGCCAAACGTCTCAATTCCAAACTCCGTTCTATTTCAGAAAACCTTGGACTAAGCTATTTGTCAATTCACGAACTCCATGGAAGAGAGAAACCTACTAAAGGCGCCTTAAGTTATAATTCTTTAGAAGTTCTCTTGAAGTATAAGTCGTCTCCAAATAAATCTAGTTATCAAACAAAATATTGAGTTCCAAAAAGCCGAAATCATAATAGTTTTTCAAATGGTTACCATTAAAATTAAACTTACTTGGTCGACAGCACTCCATGCCTTGCTCCTGTTGGACTGGACACAATCCTTTTGTGCCTACTCTAGTGCCATCGGGGCAATACATCGGCTTGGCGCAAGTACCACCAACGATCATGCACGGGAGCTCGAAAAATGGTGCGTTTCCAGCTGCAATTGATAAAAATAAAATTTTACTAACAAAGAATTTAACTTTATTTGCAAAAAGGGTAGATATCCTAGACCATCTCTTAACAAAGAATTACTTAGTGCTATAAACCAGCAGAACTTATGTTTACCTTAAGATATCCCAATTATAGGTCGATGAAAACTAAAATAATGTTAAGGGTCACCTATTTTAGCTTAAGAGTTCCTTAAAACTTAAAAGAAGGCAGTGAAAACGAGCACAAGACACATAATTAAGGTGTGAGTATTCTACAGGACTCGAAATCTACCTCTACAAACGTGGTGGTGTATATACAAAGTACCTAATGTATGTACTATGTGTAATGGTATCTAAAGTAGAATGTAAGGATCGAACTAAGTGGGGTTCTGTGGCTCCGTGTGTCTTTCTAGTTTCGGTCTATATGACAAAACCGTGTGTATACATTATTTATATGTGTACGTATGTATACTGTACCGAGCCTGAATTTTTTCGTAGATACACGCCGAGTTCGCTTTCGAGTACGCTTTCGAGTTCGTCTTTTTGTTACTGGCTGTATAACTGTCACTATGTAACAAATCAAAGTTAAAATTGTAGTTGGTTTCCAAGAACAATTTTTAAGG